ATCCCTATCTTTTTCAGTAATAGTAACAAACTTATCTGAATTCTCACTAAGTTTAATAGCTTTTTGTCTTAATCGTATTTCTTGTTGCTCTCTGGTTTGATATCCGAGTAGGCATGATATCTGCTGGGGAGATACTTCGTTGATGGTTTTTGGTTTATTGTTTACAGGTAAGTCAGGAAAGATTTCGGAATCATTTATCAATTCGATAATTTCTAGAGATTCAACTTTATCATTCACTGGTTTAATGATCTCAGAAACTGGTTCAGATTTATCATCTACAAGTTCTATATGTACGATCTCAGGTAGCGGAGATATATTAGTAGACTTGGATGATGAAGCAACTAAACTTTCATTTGTTATAAAATCAAAGAGATCCTGAGTCATGTTAGTAGTAGGAGGGGTGGATACTATTTTCTTACTTTTTTCGATGTAATCAGTAGTCGATGACCTGGCTATATTTTTTGCTAGTTGAGGATTTATTGCAAAGCAATGATCCTTTGAGTTTACAATTTCAAGTACATTAAATACAGGGATATCTGTGAATACGTTGGAGGATATCTTGTCTTGAGGTGTGTCAGAAAATTCTTATATATCGATACCCAATTCGCGTAGTTTTCTTACGATTTTGGATCGATCAAGGGTATAGACCCAGTCTCTTTTTCCATTGATTTGTGCTTGCTTGCGTTCTATACCAATTGTTGAAGGAGTTTTTCCAAATTTTTTGTTAGTAAATAGATTTTTACCATTTCTTTCACACCAAATACGATATTCCTGATATAAATTTGAACATATTGAATTCTTAGTTCTATTTTCAGGCCAAGATGAAATATGATCGATTATAAATCGTTTCGAGTTTGGTAAATGTTCCAACATTATATCTGTTTTCATTTTAGTAGCAGGAATATCTTGTGGATTCCAATCTGAGATATCAAGACTGAGTAAATAAGCCATAACTACATTTGGTATGTCAGGGTGTTCGAGTACTTTGGCCAAATTCTTAAAATATACCATGTTACCTTTACAACGGGAAGATACATCGAAACACACGATATGATGATCACCCATTTCTATCTGGAGTGGAGCATCATGATTAGTTAATACCATAAATCTAGCATAATCTTTTATGACTTTTGGTTCGATATCTTTACGTTCAACTGTTAAATAATCTTCTTTGATAAGTGATTTAAGATGATTATTATATTTATTTCAATCTCCACTAGACATACCTGTTTCATTCATAACAATTAGTTTACGAGCCTAAATACAACTATTAAAACGCCCCAATATTTTTCCAAGATCAGATGTTGCAAAGAAAAGCTCTGATCCGAGGACTTTCTTACCTATAAAATCAATTAAGATATTTTTTTCGCAACCTGGTAAGGAACGCAATACTTGAATTGTTCCAGGTTTTTTAGATAGTTGTTGTACTAGATATGCACACCAGTACCAGAAATATTTACTAAGCTCTTCATTTCTATCAAAGATTATATTTTTTGCATGCCATAGAATTGGATCAATAATAGCCGGATTAATCTCGATTGCTAGTCGAGCTTTGAATCCTAGAAAGAGATTGAAGAACTTGGTATTAGAAAATGGAATATCTGGTGGGTATGGTAAGAAATCGACATTACGATAAAGAATCAAACCTTTGGTAACTGCATGATGTATTAATGATTTTAATTCGATTGAATCCCCCCCAAGTTCAATTATATTAATTTCGTATTTAGCAAGGTCTATTTTAGGTGCTATATCAAAGAAAAGACTGTTATCTGTATTTTCCATTTTAAGTAGCCAAAGTCTCGATGTTGTTTGCACACATGCAACTATTGCTTAAATTGCTTCATATACTGTACTGCGTGTATAACTTTGCTTAGAAGTACACATATCAATTAAGTCCTCCCATACAAAACGGTCATTCAGATCTAAAATTCTTGGTCACTCTATTTTTTCTGGAGCTAGAAGTCTTTTTTCTTGCTTTTCAGCTGTTTCACTAATGACGAGTTTTAATGAAGGTTTTTTTGTACAGTTAGGTGTCTCTTGATCTGCACGATGACAATAATAGTGATACGTCTTTTTATTTCGAACCACATATGCATTATCATTGTTATGTTCTCAATTATATAGAGGGCAATGTGATCCTGCTATACGTCTTAAAGTGAATATATCTGGAGACATGGGATTTGGGTATAAAACATCAAAACCTTCGATATTCATTATATTGAGTAGTTTCTCTATATAATTGACTTCAGCTCCAATGCTCCCATTATCTGCTATCATTTTATCATAATAAATTCTCACCAAATCCCTATCTTTTTCAGTAATAGTAACAAACTTATCTGAATTCTCACTAAGTTTAATAGCTTTTTGTCTTAATCGTA